AAAAGGTTTATATCTGTAATCAGATTTTAGAACCTCAAAGAAACCGTACTTTCAAATTTTCATTTTGGTTATATCAATAAAGGAACTCAAAATTGCATGTTAGAGACCTATAGAAAAAGACATTTACTTTTTAAATTAGATTTTTTTTTGGTCAATAGCTAAATGGCAGAGTATTACATTTAAAATGGCAATTTAAAGGTGCTAAGTCTCTACTTTTATTTTTTAATAATAAAACGTTATGCCCCCAGGAAGAATGTCAGAGTAGGTAACTTTGCAGTGAACGTGGTGACTTCTTGCCAGCCATTCTTTTACACATATTTGAGTTGGAGACCCTACTTATTTTGTAATTTTCTTTAAGGCAACAGTTCTCAAAGCTTTACTGTTTATAAAGTCATGTGAGTATGTGTGTGTGAAAATATTGCTGCAAGGAGGGTTTGTCAACATAACCTGTTCTTCCGAGATTTTGATAAAACTCTGGGTAACAGCTGTGCCTCGGGGATTTTGGTTTCTCGAGTCAGAAACCAAATCTGTTATTTCAAATCTGATCATGGTTTCTTGGATTTAGACAAAACGTGCCTGTCCTTCTTATCTTAGTGGGTTTGGGAGCATCTTTGCAAGGACTTCTCTTCTGTGTTGGCGTTTTAATCATTTGTGGGGCCAGCAATTGCAGGAGGCTGTACGGAATGCTTCCGACTATATGAAAGGAATTACTTCCTGAGTGTTATTACATATCTGAGTGTGTGTGTGTGTGTGTGTGTGTGTGCGCGCGCGCGCGCGCTTGATGGCATCATAAGTCACCTCTCATTATCCTAGGTAATCAGCACATTTACTTTGAGTGCATGCAATTTTTTTCCTAGGAAAGCAGTCTGAATGGGACCTCTGATTCTCCCTGATCTTTTATGAATTTCCCGGGAAACGCATAGCGATGTGCTTAGTTCTGGAACAATTACTGTCAATGAAAGAAGAGAAGCTTTTAGAAAGTAGACACGTTTTCCAGCAATTTATACGTGAAGCATATTGCACTCCCTCAGCCCATCTATGCTAATAGAGCGAAGGAGAAGTTCAGAGCACTCACTTAAGTAAAAATGCTGTTACATAGACTACAAAGAACATGTAAAGGCAGGAGACGTCCAGTAACAATCTTCTAGACCAGCGGTTCTCAACCTGTGGGTCGCGACCCCTTTGGGGGTCAAATGACCCTTTCACAGGGGTCGCCTAAGACCATCGGAAAACACATATATAATTACGTATTGTTTTTGTGATTAATCACTATGCTTTAATTATGTTCAATTTGTAACAATGAAAATGGGGGTCACCACAACATGAGGAACTAAAGGGTCGCGGCACCACAACATGAGGAACTAAAGGGTCGCGGCATTAGGAAGGTTGAGAACCACTGCTCTAGACAGTTCAGGCGAATGATGCCAGCATCATCCATGGGTTTCCTATTTTGCGTTGATAAGCTGATCTGAGGCCTCTGCATGTTTCTTTACTTTTAAAAGGTGGGTCCCTAGTGTCCTGACCAGCTCAATGATGAACTCAAAATGTAATCTGACACTGAGGCAAACTCCCTGGAGCTTGATGCCTTGCAAACTCCAATTGCTGTAACACTGCAAGTAAAAGGCAAGCAGAAGAAAGGTAACTGGATTATTGAATCTAGCAGTAAGGTTATTGTTTTGATTAGCTTTATAGACAGAAAAGCTAATGAAAACGTCAGTAGATGGTAGAGGTAAAGTCTAAGAAAGAGTAGAGATCTTTGGAAATACTCTCTGCTCTTCCCATTTTAACTTTTTGGAAACCTACTTTCAGAAAGTTGAGTGGAATCAAGCAAATCTCATTAACAACAACAGCAACAAAGCTTGTCTAAGATACTTGAGTGAAGGATTCCTTAGGCATTTCGGTGGGTTAGGAACACCGCCTGTGTAACCCAAGTAGCAGATGAGGTTCAGCAAACTTCAGTCTGCCTCCGTCCAGTTTCTGTGGGTCGAGTACAGGGGAATACTGACCAGCCTCTCAAACAGTGTGTTCATGGGTGGGTCACGAGTAGACAATGTTTACTCTTCCAAACCATTTTCATTCCTGCCCACATCTGTAAGTAATCACCCATCCTATTTTTAGCCCATTTAAAAATATGAAATACATAATATATATATGTATATGTATATATGATATATTTAATTTTAAAAAATTAAGTAAATTGATTTATGGAATCATATAAGCTTTATGCATGCAGCATTACCAACCAGCAGGGTATGTGTACTGCATCCTGCTCACCACCAAATGTCTAGCTTCCCTCTGTCACTATACACCTTTATTGGCTTTGCCCTCCCCCCACCCGCTTCCCCTCCAGTAACCACAAACCTGTTGTGTGCCTCAATAAGTCTGTTTTTGTTTTGTTTTTATATTTCACATCTGAGTGAGTGAAATCATAGGGATTTGTCTTTTTCCATCTGACTTATTTCACTAAGCATAATATCCTCTTAATCCAAGGAATGAAGACAACCGAAGTGTCCATTAATGGATGAATGATAAAAAAGATGTGCATACACACACACACACACACACACACACAATGGAATACTACTCAGCCATAAACGGTGAAATCTTGCCTTTGCAACAACATGGGTGAACCTTGAAGGGTGTATTTATTGATAAGGCCAGAGCCTAATTATAGAAGTCACCATAGTGTTTCTTTTTTTAAAATATATTTTTTATTGATTCAGGAAGGGAGAGGGAGAGAGAAAAAAAATCATTGATGAAAGAGAATCATTGATTGGCTGCCAGCCTACTAGGGATCGAGCTCACAACCTGGGACCCTTCAGTCTGCAGGCCAATGCTCTATCCACTGAGCCACACCAGCTCGGGCACCATAAGTGTTTCTTTAATCCAGGGGTGGGGAACATCCAGTGTGTGGGTCATATCAGGCCCGAGAAATAATTTGGTCTGGCCCTGCCAAGGCGTTAGGGGTGAGTTAATTAAATATCTGACCACATATTGCAGGCTAATTTTTAAATTGATAATTTTGTATGGCCTGTGAGTAATGTTATGAATATCCAAATGGTCCTTGGCAGAAAAAAAGATTCCCCACCCCTGCTTAATCTATTGTATATTTTTAATCAATGAAATCGGAATGAAAATGATCTGTATTATCTAGTGCACTTTTGGAGGTCATTCAAGCTACCTTATTGTTCTGGAATATTTAAAAGAAGATTTGAAATTCGTCTCATAAAAGCTGGGATAGAAATTTTTCTGTTTGATTAAATTGCCTAGACATGCAGTATTCTAACATATTAATATCAGCCTCTTTTGAAAATAATCTTCACAGCAACCCAGGGGCAAGCTGTCGTTTTGAGACTTTGGGAACTAGCAATTATTAAAAAGTTCTTACTGAGGTAACATTTGACTTCAGGAGGTATTTCGTTTTTATGCCATTAAAATCTGTGCTTCTTTGAAACCAATATTAGTGATCATTCAAAAGAAAAGCGTCAATTAACTTCACATTAAACTTTTCCTCAAGACAATGCAGACTAGATTTTATTGGAATTTTCATGTGTTGTATTTCTCTACGTATAGTGGGCTGCCAAGAACCTTAATAATGTAAATTTTTAAGTACAAATGACTCCCTACAAGGCCTTTTGTGATTATTAATGGAATCAATTATGTGTTCAGTGAAGTTACAATGGCTTGAAATAACAGTTAATAATGAAAGACTGAGGTAGATTTTAAGTATAATGTGTTTATGTTTAATAATACACATTCTATTATACAAAAAAACCAGTGAGAAAATATGGTGGGGACAATGCCTTTTCACTTTCTTCTTATCATTAAGAAACTCTTCGTGTGAGTATTTGTTTTGTCATTTTCTTATCACAGGAAAGTAGGCTGGTATGTTTCAGAAGAGCCACCGATTTCCCCAGACTAGGAACTGAAGTTCTGTTATGCTGCCCAAGTTCTTTTCAATCAGGAAACTGGGAGGTACACTGTTGGTGGAATTGTTTGAGGCCAGCCCCTCGCCGAGGGCCTCCAAATCGCTTTGCAGTACAGGATATTCTTCTCTGAGTCTGTGACCACAGGTCTTACAGCAAGAAGACCTGAGCGCCCAGCGGTGCTCATGGTACTTCCCAGCGGTTTTCTGAGGGAGAGCAGAGCACCCGGAGCTGCTGGTCTGGGTCATAGGGAGGGTGCGTGGCTGAGAGTCTAGCCCGTGAACGACTCCCCACCACCCCGGCCCCGGCCCCTTGAAACCTCCTTTCTACTTTCTCTCTCTCTGAGTTTGACTGCTTGAGATCCTCATATAAGTGGAGCCATGCAAGGTTCCTCTTTTTGTGACTGGCTTATCTCCCTCAGCTTTGTGTCCTCAAGGTTCATCCGTGTTGTCGGCTGTGACCAGGTTTCCCTCTTTCCTCAAGGCCGGGTGCTGTCCCGTTGTGTTTCTCTGCCAGGTCTTTATCCGTCTGTCCGTGGACATGTAGCTCCTTCCACCTCTTGGCTATTGTGAACGGCTCTCTTCAGACATTGAAATTCAGTTGGAAATCAGGAGTTGCTCCATCTCCAGTGGCATCTCACGTTGTTGCTTTGCTTTCGTTTTTCTTTTTTTTTCCAGTTTTTAGCAAAGTTGTTGAAAATGTGCTGACTTCCTAGGGCAGTGATGGCGAACCTATGACACGCGTGTCAGAGGTGACACGCGAACTCATTTTATTTTTTGGTTGATTTTTCTTTGTTAAATGGCATTTAAATATATAAAATAAATATCAAAAATATAAATCTTTGTTTTACTATGGTTGCAAAGATCAAAAGATTCCTACATGTGACACGGCACCAGAGTTAAGTTAGGGTTTTTCAAAATGCTGACACGCCGAGCTCAGAAGGTTCGCTGTCACTGGCCTAGGGACTCGGGTTTTTTTCCTTGTTCAGTGCAGACATGTGGGTAAGAATAAGACAGTCCTGCTCGCGGTCAAACCGCACCGGGCTCGGTAGCTAACGGACTGTTGTCATTGCAGGACAAGTCCGCGCCAGCCGACAAGCAGAGCAAAGCGGAGGCGGCCCCGGCCACGCACGCGGCCTCCGCGGTGTCCGGCTCCCAGGAGGTGCTGTACATCAACGGCAACGGGACCTACAGTTACCATAGTTACCGAGGCCTCGGCGGGGGGCTGCTGAGCCTGAGTGACGCCTCCAGTAGCGGTGAGTCTATTATAGGCTATGATTTTTATGTCCATTGGAGGGAGTCAATTCTGTGAACCCGAGAGAAGAAAATGGGGATTTTGTTAAAGCAGTAGTCCGTGCCAACCTGCTAAACACAAGACCGTTTAATACAGAACATCCATCTCGCTACAAGGATGCCCCCTGTTCCGTTGCTGTTTCTGGAAGTAGTAGCACTGCTATGCAGCTGGAGGATTGCTGTTCTTATACCGGAAATAATTCTCAACCAGAGAAATAGCCTTTTAAGACAAATAGTTTTACATTCTCCCCCCAAAGCTGTTATGTACTATTCTTCAAGAATAATGACACATTTTCTTAATGTTTGAAGTTTTTAATTTGGAAATTTGAGGCCCAGGAACTTGACGAAAAATGCATACACAGTCCTTCCTTATACCTAGGACCCTCCGGTTACAGTGCATCCCAGCACGGGTAGCATGCAGCTGTAAAAAGTAAAGAAAAACATCTTTATATGCGCCAGGTGATGAGAAGTCTGTGTGCCAATATTCATTCAAGAAGGACTTATAAAGTATCTTGAAAAGTTATATAGAGGCAGGGATGAGAGAGAATGATACGGGAAAAGGAATATAAGGCAGAATTCTCTGCTTGCACTTGTTTCTATACTTGGTTTGGTAAATTTAACTTTGGAACAGCTTATGTATTTATATAATTAGGAATGAAATTGACTAAGAATCTCTAATATTGAGGGGAAACGATGCGAATGAACCTCATCTGTTTAAGTGAGTGGTTGGCCTCACCTCAGAGAGGAAGGGACCTCTCTCCCAGTGACCTCAGAACTCACGCTGCACAGCGTGCCGGCGTGCACCCAACCTGAGGTGGTTCCAGCAGCCACTTTAGTATCCTGGTGCTGATGTCTGTGTGTTGTGGTTCAAAGCAAACTTATAATTATGTGGTGTCGGTGCAAGCTGGGATTTTTCAGCAGGAGGCCAAGTAGATACAGATGTAAAATTGGTGAGTTTCAGCAAAAACTTTGCAGTCTTGTATTTGAAATGTTAGCATCGGTGAGAACTGATATTTCCTCTCTCTTTCCACTGAAAATGCCTGAAAAACGAAGACTAATTTGAATTCTAAAAGTTGACTGGGCTTGGTGGGCTTTTACTAGATTTGGGGGGGGGGGGGGCGGGGTTGCATTTTAGTGTCAGTACCTGCACAGGATTGGGAAGCTGCGGTGCGTCTCAGCAGGAGCCACTCTGCTGGGAGGGGGGCTCCTAGGCCTGCTCACAACCAAAGGTCCTCCAAGGACAGGGTCCCTGAGCTTCAGTTTCTATCAGTTGCCTCCAGCTTAAAACACACGTGCGCGCACACACACACACACACACACACACACACACACATGTGCGCACACCCAAGGTGCCTCAAGTAGAAGGGAAAAGGAGCTTATTTTGGAAAGGGATGTAGTTCCCAGTGTAGGTTCAGTGAGCCTTCTCAGCTGCTTTCACGTCTTAATTTTATTTGGACAATAAATCTGCAGGAAAGAGCAAATCTGAGATTAGAATAGGAAAACATAAACAAAAGCTATAAAGCTGGAAACTAATATTTTTTAAAAAAATACTTTACATATAGGTAGTTCAGAGCTTAACCACCAAATCAAAAAATGGGGTGGTGGGGGGAATAGAGTGCATTCATTAAAGATTTTATTGACACAAAACGTTTTGTAATTTAGACTTTAAAGAGCATTCATCTATTAAATTAATGTATTTAACATAAACTAATAACAATGCCTACTACTTATTGAGTCCCCTCAGTGTAATATCCATTGAATCCGTACACAGTATTAGGAGATACATCCTGTCATTTGGAGATAATTTTTATAAAATTAAAATTGCCCCACATTTAAAAATAATGCCAAGGCACCACTTCCCTTTTTCCTAACATGATTGAAGCCTATTTGGGGAGGCTCAGAGGGGTTGAGTGACTTGCCCAAAGCCCCTCCGTAAAGGGAGGGTCCAGGACTTGCACACAGGCCTTGTGACATTAGAGTCTGCGCATTGGAAGCTACTGAGCTAGTAATCTGTGTAATGGATACAAGTACTGAAGCAAGTGACCGTCTCCGGGTAAGTACAATATACTGTCTGTCTCCAGAAACTCTCCTAGTCTGAACATGTCATGTAAGTGAATGCATCACATTATACGTTCTCTCTTATGTCTGGCCTCTTTTAATTAGCATATTTTCAAGGTTCATCTATGTTGTAGCATGTATCAACACTGTGTTTTTTATTGCCAGATGCTCTATTCTATGAATAGGCTATATTTTGTTTAACCATTCAAATGGATGGGCACTGGGATATTTTCCACCTTTTGAGTTACTATGAATGATGCTACTATATAAACCTTTGCTTTACAAGTGTGTGTGTGTGTGTGTGTGTGTAATCAATGTATTGTGCTTATACTTAGAAGTGGAATTACTGGTTCATACATGTGCTAACTCTGAGTTTAAAATTTTGAGGAAATAACTGAACATGAAATGTCTTTATGTTCATTTTATCCTTTTTAAATTTCTTTCAACTATGTCTCATAGTATCTATATATCTATATCTATATATCTATATATAGGTATATAGATATATAGGTATATAGATATAGATATAGATATAGATATAGATATAGATATAGATATATATAAAAGGCTAATATGCAAAGTGTCCCCTCAGGAGTTTGACCGGGAGAACGGGAGTTCAGTTGCTCGCTATGATGTGCACTGACCACGAGGGGTCGATGTGGAACATGTTGGGCAACCAATGGCGGCGGGGTGCTGAGGGAGCAAGGGAAGGAAGCGATGGGGAGGGGGGGGGAACCTGATCTGCCCTGATCGTCGGCCAGGTCTAGGGACCCTACCAGTGCATGAATTTCGTGCACCGGGCCTCTAGTTTATAATACAAGTTTTACTTTTTTTTTTTTTTTTTTTTTTTTTACTGTTTAAGGAATTTTTATTAAAGCAAGTATTTTATAATCCAAATTACGTTTCCTTGCTCAGTTATCAATTTACACTTTTTATTTTTACTGCTAAATATTTCTCTGTGTGATGCTACTGTAGATGGAATGTTTTCATTAAAACGTGAGTCTACATTTTTCTGTTTTGGAAGAGTTTGTGAGGTGTGATATTCATACTCTAAATGTTCGTAGAATTCAGGAGTGGCCTGTGCCTGGGCTTTTCTGGGAAATTTTTGATTACTAACTCAGTCTCTTGACTTGCTATAAAGTCTGCTTATATTCTCCGATTCCTCTTGAGAACTTTGTTTCCAGGAATATGTCCATTTCAACTGAATTATCTAATTTATTGACGTAGTTATTCATAGTATTCCTTCGTAATCCTTTTTATTTTTGGAAGGTCAGTAGTGATGGCCCCGCTATCGTTTCTAATTCTAGTCATTTGAGTGTTCTCCCTTTTCTTCTTGGTGATATTCTAGATAAAGTTTGTCAAATGCGGCCATCTTTTCAAAGAACAGCTCTTGGTTTCATTGATTTTTCTCTATTGTTTTCTACTCTTTCATTGATTCCTGTTCTCATGTTATTTTCTTCATTTTCCTTACATTGTTTAGTTTGCTCTTATTTTCCAGTGGAAAATGAAAAGTTAAGACATTTGCTTGAAGTCTTCTTTTCTCAGGCATTTACAACTATATGCTTCCTTTTAAGCACTGCTGTATCTGCATCACAAAATTGTGGTACGTTGTGTTTTAGTTTTCATTCACCTCAAAGAATTTTCTAATTTCCTTTGACCCATTGGCTGTTTAGGTATGGTGCTCAATTGCCACATACTTGTAAATTTCCCAAATTTCTTTCTGTTACCGATTTCTAGTTGTATTCCACTGTGGCCAGACAACATACTTCATATAATTTCTATAATCCTGTCAAGTTTATTGGAGCTTGTTTTGTGATCCAGATCATAGTCTGTCCTGGAGAATGTTTCATGTTTCATGGAGAATGTACCTGGGAATAATGTGCATTCTGCTGTTGGTGGTGGGGCATTTTGTAAATGTGTATTGGGCCTAGTTGTTTTATAGTGTCTAAATCTCCTATATTCTTGTTGACCATCTGTCTAATTTTTATAGCCATTATTGAAAGAAGGGTATTGAAGCCTTCAAGTACTATTGTTGAATTGTTTACTGTTGCCTTCAATTCTGACAATTTTGTTTCCTTTATTTTGGGACTCTGTTGTTAGGTATTGATATTGGTGTATCTTCTTAATGGACTCACTCTTTTATCATTGTAAAAAATCCTTTATCACTTTTAAGTTTATTTTGCCTAATATTAGTTATTTATGAATATCAGGAAAAGACAATGGTAATTTGGATTAGCGTGGTAGTACTGAAAATGAAGGTAAGTGGGCAAAGCTTTGGACATGGTAGTGACATATAGAAGAGTATGGAACAAATTGAGTATTGCTCACCTCTACTCAAATACAACCAATGTAATTTTTCTTTGATCCATAAATGGCTAAGTAATTTTGGGAGCCCAATGTCAAATGAATATGTGGGCCTTTTTAACATTAAGTATTTCAAGATGCTGATAACAGAGCATTAAACAAAGCTTAGAGCTCTTCTGAGCACAGGCTCATGTGGGTCTATACATGTTTAACACCCCACTCTTTTTTCTTTATTTAGTAAGTTGGAGAAAGCATTGCATTTTCATGAAAAAGGTAAAGAGCTAGGAATTTAGAGCTCCTTCCCAATATGGACTGAACCCTTCCCCTTGCTACTATAGCGAGAGTCTTTTCTCAAATGTGAACTAAAGAAATTCTCTTCAGTTTAAGTCAAAAGCAGTTATTTGCTAAGACTGCTGTTTTGCCTTTTTTTGTTTGGGCAATGACTTTGGGCTTGTCACTGAGTTACAAAGAGCCACCTCAGTTGTGAGTTGCTGCATGCGTCCTGCTTATCCTGCTACGCCTGACTTTTCCCAGCAGACGGTCTGAGTTGTTCAATGTTGTTCTTTATTGTATCCTTAAGGGATCTTTATCTCATCACGCA